AGCACCTTTTCAGTGACATTTCTTTGGCAATTTTGCACTTTCTTCCATAAGCTATCATTTTAATTCTTTTCTGGAGTCACTCTGTATTTTATTGAAGTTTGCAAATTTATTAGCAGGAAAGGTGCATCCCATAATATAATTCTTATCAGGGTCCTTTTAATCTGAAATTATTCCTAGTATTACATATTTCTTTTTCTCCCTTTGTTTTATTTTGCTCTATTAAAAGATAGGCCAGTTGAATTAGTCTTTTCAAAGGACAAACTCACAGCCTAATTTATAAATTTCCAGTGTTTTTACTTCCATGTCAATTAGTTCCTGCTTTTATCATTATTTCCTATTTATTTTGTTTTTCTAGACTTTTAGTTTGAATGCCTAACTCATTGGTTTTCATTCTCTCTGGTATAATGAAAACATTTAAGGCTAAGAATTTTCCTCTGACTACAGCACTGGCCATAAAAAGCCCTTGCTATATGTATACTCATTTTCATTAAGTCTAAAGGGTCCATAAGAGAAGTTTTGGTTTCCTCTTTGAAGAACGTTATAAAACTTACAAGTGGTTCTATTGAACTTGGTTTTCCTTTCAGATCAGTTTTTAATTTTACTGCACTACGGTACTGTATGTGGTGTGGGCATTCTATGTGTTAAAATTTTATTGAGTTTGTTTCTTTGCAGCATTTCATTTTTTCAAATTTTCCATGGATTAAAAAAAAAATTTTCTGTAAAACATAAAGCGACATGGTGGTGAACATTTTAGGAAATAAATACTAAACTCAAATTTGTCTGCTCTTTTAATGTAGTGGATTTTGAATCTGAGTTTTCTTAAAAACATATTGCTACTGAAGCTATTTTAAAACAAAAATGAATATTCAAGATTTTTACTTTTCTGCTCTCTTCTACCACCCTTCCACAACTACGTCTGAGCACACCCCTTTCTTGTGTATCAGGCCGCAGGATGTCTGGGCTGTGGGCCCAGCCTCCCCAAGGCGGCTGCTCATCTGCAGACAGAAAAGCTTGTCCCATTTCTGTCACTTAGAGTTTGTGGTCTTGAAGCCCTAGTCCTTGACTCAGATGGGAGACAGTGGCCCCTGAAAAAGGAAGTGACCACATCCCCCATTGTGGGGCCTTTTGTTGAACAAACCCTGCCTCTCAATTATCCTTTTCTCTGGAGTTGCTTCTCCGTGGGCCTTCACAGTCTCAGCCACAGCTGGACTTTGTCAAGGGAACCAGACAGAGGCCTCCTTTGGGGAAACGACAGGCAGATGACAGGCAAACCAAACGTTTCGGTGTTATCTCCGCCCTTGGTCTTCATCAAGCCAGTGCTCTGACAAGTGTCTTAAAGCAGGCATGAATTATGTCTCTATGCTTTTCTAAGGACTTAAATAACCTCCAGAGTATGTGTTTCTTCTGTTACATGGAAAGCTTTAGAGGGACTGGCTGGGTTTGGCACAGAAAACCCTACCAAGTCAGAATCTTACCTACCTGGACGGGGGGCTCGGGCACTCCCACTTTATCAGTGGCATTCACAGGAAAGCAGAGTTGGGCATCAGGGGTCCTCACTGAGCTTTCACGCCTCAGTTTGCACCCCCTCCACTATTTTCTAATAATTTGTCTGCTCCTTGTTAAGTGTAGGTTGATCAGCTTTAACTCTACCAATGAGGTGGCCTTGTCACCTAAAGTCACACTCTCTGAATACTCTAACTACTGACAGTCTCAAAAATAAATAGCTTTCAGTGGTCAGAGTAGGGAAGGTATTGACCTGGACCTTACTCTCACCTCCACCACTTAGACCCACAGACATTTTATTCTACCCGAGTGGCTAGTTTTGACAGTCTTGGGGTAACAGAAACATTTATATTCAAAATAAGGCCTTCCCTCCACAGAGCATTTTCCCAGGTAAGTGTTCTGCTGTGTAATTTTTCACCTCTCCTCTTATGCAGAGTCCCAACATAAGTTAGCTTGGGTAAGCCTTACCAGGGAAACAGATTCCTTCCCAGAAAATGTTCTACCTTTCTTGAAAGCCAGCTGGGAATTACAGAGTGACATCAGTAGCAATAGTTCATGAAGCAGTCAGCAATCGCTCCCCACGACCAAGACCACACGCACACTTAGGCCACGGCTGTCTAGTTCTCACTGCAGGTAACGTGAAGCCAAGACTCAGCTGAGCAGCGTGGCCTGGGCAGGTCACAGCTTCTGTGCGCTCGGCTGAGTGGGACTAACACCCCCTAAGAAGGCTACTGCGAGGTCACTTACCAAAGGATGTTGTAGTGCCCTGAACAGGCCTAGAACATTCCCTGATACTTTCACTCTACGTAAAGGAAATCAAGACTAGGATGTGGTTTTCCCTTGGACTTCCGGGTCTTTAACCACTCACCTCATTCTTAAACTGGACACAGCTGCAAATCGTATCCTTAGTCTCACGACTTCATCTTGTTCGACTCAGCTGAGCAGAACTGATGGCGTATGGTGGGGAAAAGCAAGTCACCAACGTGGCGAAGTGGAGTCCAGACACAGCAAGGTGACGGAGAGCGGGCCTCGTGCAGGTAAAACTGGACCAGGCTGAACAGCTGCTCCCCGGGGGGAGGTGAGGTGTGCGGAGACACGGATGGGGGCTTTCCCACAACGCCTCATCTGTAAGTGGGGTGGGTAACAGTTCCCGCCTCGTGAGGTCGCTACACAACTAAACAAGGGAACGTGCACGGCACTCAGAACAGGGTCTGGTCCAGAGTAACTCACATTGTCCAGCCCCCGCTCTTGTTAGGTGCAAAGCCACGGTTGGTACGTTAACCTCCAGCAACTGCAAACCATCCCAGGGGAGCCTCCGGTGCAGGAGCGGCATGCAGCCCACCCCTCTGTACGGGAGGGTGGCCTTCCTTGAGGCAGCACCTCCTGCAGGTCTCAAGGACGTTTGGGAGCCGGCACCAGACACGCGAGCCTGCGGCAGCCCTCCTCCCAAAACAGGCCGGCTGCATCAGGGCTATCACCACGGAGTTCATCTCAGCATTGACACTTCTCCAGGGAAAGCCTACACTAGTCTTTTTAATCCCCTGCTCGGTTAGTGACAATGCAAACCAGCCCACTTTCCTACCACTCTGCTCAGGGAGCTTTTACTGGGTAGGGCTGGGTCCAGCTGGGTCCCGGGACCGCTGGCCGCAAAGCAGTGGCTCCTGGGAGTGCCGGGTCTACACCTGCCCTGGCCCTTGACCAGATGGGCCCCGGCAAGGGTCTGGACCCCTGAGCGTGCTGACGTCGTCCTGGCTCTTGGGCATGAAGGGTGGGCACGAAGGTGAAAGGAGTGTTTCTTCATCCTATGCACGTGGACCTCGGGCCCTCCAGAGGCAGGGGTGGGACTGGGCCCTGTGCGGGTGAACTTCCGCCCATCCTGCCACTGGCTTCAGGTTGAGCTGCCGCCGCCAGGACACCCAGCAACCCAGTGGTTTGAAGATGTGTCCATTTCTGCCCCTCTCCTGTGATGGTGACCGAGGTGGGAGGTGGGCTGCTCTGCTCACATGTTCATTGTGCTGTGATCCAGCACAGTCCAGGCCAGGCCACAGCCTGGTCCTGGTCCAGCCGTAGGAAGGGGCCTGTGTCGTCCTTGTCACATGACCACACCTAGCTGCAAAGGAGCTGGGAGTAAGTCCCCAGCCAGGCAGGTGTGCATCCACGGAAATGCAACATTGCTTCTGAACAGGATGGGGACTGAGAGGGGGCTGTGGAGAGCACTGGCAACCCACCAGAGCCCAAATCACGGCCAGCACGGGGAGGGGATCTTACCCCAAAGGTTTTACAGGTAATTCAGATTCAGACTCAGGAATTAGGAGACTCCAGTGATGAAGGCAGAAATGACGTCACGGTTCCACCTCCCTACCAGCTACCGGAGCAGGTGGGCTCAGGATATGAACTCCGGATGCAGTCAGGCGTGATGCTTGTACTTTTTAAAGTGTTTTCTCTCTGGTTTACCCTCCACCTTTACTGTGGAACCTACGAGTCGGCTGAGAACTGGAGCTGGGCCCTATTTTTGCTGGGGCTCTGAGAGCCGAAAGATGCTCCTACTTGAATGGGCATTTTCAAAAAAATACAGTTTCAGATTCACGGTTCACGGGCTCCTTCCTTCACCTCCCCTCCTCTGGCTCTAATGTGAGACTCTGACAGTGGACACCCCAACTCCAGCCGGGGCAGCAGCGGGAGGGCTGCTGTCCAAGACATCCAACTATCCGAGCCTTCCTTAAAAATCCACGGTGCAGGGGTCGACCAAGAAGGGGAAGGAAATGACCCTTCCTTGTGCCCCTTGGGGTTGAATGAAATGATAAAGGTGATAATTTTAAAGCTGCTGGGCTGCTGTCAGCTCTTCAGGTGATAACTATTCCCTAAGGAAAGGACTCATCATATTTCCGTCCATAAAACTGGTTTACTTAACAAATTATACAGCAATATATAAGTCCTAGACCTTTTCTCAGGATTCTCATTTAGCTTTTCTTCCCATTAAAAATGATTTCCACTTTTGAAATTTCTCGGAAAGTACGGACTCCTTGTCTTCTGCTAGTCTGGTTAAAACACCTCATCAGATCATTAATGTCATGTGTGTGTAAAAGGAGATTTATAAACTGGAAAGGTTTCTCTGGGAACCAACTTTTAATGGCTCAGGGAATAAGCTGTATCCATTTCACTGGTGAAGCCCAAGGGTAATGCAGAGCCTGGGCCCTCGGCATCACAGGTCACCACACTGTCCCAGGACAACGGCAGCACCACCCGGGGCGCCATGCGGAGGGATGCTGGGAAGCCCAGGCAGCACGCAAAGCGCACGGCGTAAGGCCTGGTCCACTGTGGACCCACAGAAACGATGGCAGGATCTGAAGGAAGCAATGTGCTGTAAACCCCCCAATACTGCAAACCACAATGGAAGGCGAGGGAGAAAGTGGCTTCAGGCCACAGCCCCCTGGCCCCAGCGGAGGCCCCTCAGGGAGGACGGGGGCAGCCAGTCCACCGAGTCCAGGGTGTTTGTCTTCCTGGCACCACCCAGTGTAGCGGGGTCTTCACTCGGCGCCCAAGGTCTCCTGCCACTCAGAACCCAGCCGACAACAGGCACAGACACGCCTTTTCACCCCAACACACCTTCACACTTAACGATTCTGGGAATAGAGCCCACGCCATTTCACACCAAGGATTTCAGAAGTACCCTCACACCAGCGTAGTCACCAAATCCCCTCACTCCTGAGAGCAAGGACCACGTTTTCCAGTTTCCTAAAAGTTCTGAAGTCGTTAAAAAAAAACGTTACAAAAGAGAGCAGAGTGGAAAACACGTTACACTTGCCAGCCGACGCCACGAGCACCCTCCCCAGTGGGCGTCCGCAGACGCCTGTCACCATCCTGCGAGGTGGCTTTGCTGCCCGGAGTCCCGGCCACATCCGTGGACCAGTCAGGAGGTTTCCCTCGTCCCTGACCTCACTTCCCAGCAGAGGTGGAACTCTCTGACAACTGTCTCCTCAACCTAGAAAGGAGCAGGTGAGTCAGGAGTCACAGGAAATCCGCTTTCTGGGAGACGGTCTTGCCAGTACAGTCAAGCAGTCCCGAGGAATGTGGAAGGAAAGCTCCAACCAGAGGCGCCGCCGGCAGCAGAAGCCTGGAGGAAATGAGGAAGGGCCCCGTGGTCGGAGGGGTCAGACGCACTTCTGCTACAGAGTCATCATGTAACGAGTGTGACGCCGCGGGCCTGGGCGCCGTGCGGCCGCCTGGGCTACGTCCTGCACAGCTTCAGCGGGAAGTTCTCCGTGATGAGGTGGTCGGGGTGCAGCAGCACCACGATGTTAACCTCAAACTCTGCGAAGAGGAAGGATAAGCTTTACGCTCACCGGCCGCAGAGCGGACACCGAACACCCACCCACCACCGGCACCACACGTCTCCACAGAGCGGGGCACTGGGTGCCATGTGGGTGTCTGTCCCACGCACGTCACCCCAAACTCCCGGGAGAATCGGTGTAGACGCTACACTGGCGTGACTGCCCAAGCGAGTCTGTCTCCTCACCTTGGAACGTGCTGTGAGGCCTCAGCGTCCCCAAACACCTTCCTTGACCTCTGTTGTTACTAATGAGAATCTTCCAGAATCTTGTCACTTCATTCATACCCTTTGGCTTTATTTTTACATTTTCTACAGTTCCTAATGGAATAGCGGACTCCACACTGGCCTGAGGCTGTCTGGGGATGGGTCTCCACCCCCGGGTGAGACAGGATGTTCAGAAACAGCCAGCAGTCTAACTGCTGCTCCTGTGGATACTGGTTAACTTCCCTGAAACTCTTGTTCAAAGGCTCCTCTTCTACCCTTCAGCAAACACTGCTGATGACAGCAAATGGGCTGGACCCCTCCCCGGAGCATCCCCAGCACTCGGGGCCATGGTGCTCTTGGACTGTGTGCTGTGGGCATATGTTACCTACTCGATAACCACACATGGATTTTGAGAAAAATCGCGGTGCCCTGGTGTGGCTCAAGTCTGACCCGATGTCATCTTCCAGTCGCCTTTGCTGTGCGTTTCCATGTTTGGTGAACAGCTGAGTCGTTGCCCTCTTTGCTATTGACAAGGGGGTCCTGACCCCACTGTGCTCTTGCTATGATGTAATGTTTCAGACAAAGCACTCAAGGGCTCCACAGACAGTGGACTGTGCCTCTGACCTGCTGAGCGAGCAGAGCTCCAGGGCTCACGCTCCACCCGGGAGCTCAGAGAGGGCTGAGCAGCGCCCAGTGATTCCAGAGGTGCCCACCTTCCCCTCTTGAAACAAACAGCATGCGCTCAACTTCGGTGGTGAACCTTACTTCAATTTTAAATTACATTATCTGTAATTATTTAAAATAAATTCATGGTCTAATTGGAAAAAAAAACAAACATTCTCTCTGGACTAATAATAATGCACATTAGAAGATATAGGTGAAATACAACATTAACAAAACACACTGGCCGTGGGAACGAAGTCCCTGCTTCTCACTGAAGCAGGCAAAACAGCAGGACCAGTTACCAAACCTCCTTTTTCTGTCTATTTACCAGTGAGCCCGGGACACGACGCAGAGCCCGGACACACTTCTGTGGTCCTTTCCATCGGCCTGCAGAGGGCTGTGTCAGTGAGGGCTGAGCCTGCAGGTCCTCCTGCTGTGTCCCTGCAGCTGGGGGTGAGCCCCCCAATGACCTTCATAACGATTTTCTCAGGATGATGATTTTCTTAGGATGGACATAACATCAAAATATTTTATAAGAATCCTTAAGGGGGGAGAGTATAGTTCAATGACAGACTGCATGCTTGGCATGCATGAGGTCCTAGGTTCAATCCCCAGGATCTCCCCTAAAAATAAATAAACCTAATTACCTCCCCCCAAATAAAATAATTAAATGATACATACAAATTTATAAGAATCCTTACAATCAAGGAAATGTTCATAATATACTGAAAAAGACTATGAAAAGGAATATATGGATGTATACATATGACTGAAACATCATGCTGTGCACCAGAAATTGACACAACATTGTAAACTGACTACAAATCCAAAAAAAAAAAAAAAAGCGAAGGGAGAAAAAGCAGGACAGAAAACTGCATCTGTAACACGATTCAGATCTTATGGTCAAAATATCCACCCACGTCGTCCTGGAAAATGACGCGCACGCCCTCAGCTGGGGGAGCAGAGGCCCTCAGGAAGATTAACACTCACCCTGGGCTGTCACTCGTCCTGCGTCTCCCTCAAGTGCCAGCCCATCCGAGGAGCTGCCCTGACCGCCCCCCCACATTCGGCTGGCTGGTCCCTGGCTGTGTTAGCGTCCTTCACAGAGCTTATCGTCCCCTCCCCGGCCCACGCTGTCTCCCTGGGTGGCGACGCAAGGTCCCCAGAGCTGGGACTGCTCACCTCAGACCCTCAGCACTCTCCATGCGTTTCTGTTGAGGGACCAAAGGACTGGGCGCCCTGAGCAGCACCTGACCCCGGCAGATCAGCGAGTCTGTCCCAGCACCGGGCAGCCCTCCTGCGGCCACGCCCTTCCCACGAGCACCCCGGGAGCGGCTCACTTACCCACTTTGAAGTTGGTGGTCTCCAGCGTCGGGCAGGTGAACAGCCGGGGGAAGACCATGTATATGGGGACGGAGAGGCTCCGACACACGTCCCCGTCAGCGATCTGAATGTTCTGAATTTCGGTGGCATCACGGGCATATCCCTCTGCACACCCTGGAGCAGGGAGAAGGCATCACGCGGTCAGAAAACAGCAAAGGCCCCAACAGGCTTATCCCTAGACCCGTCGTGACGCTATGAGAATCTGCATCAGCCGAGTCACCTGGTCTCCCGCCTGCTCTGCAGGACTCAGGAGTCCTCCCTTCCTCCACATCTCACTCTCCTCAAACACATGTTTACTGGGCTCGGGCGGCGAGCTCGGGGGCAGCAGCCTGCTGGCACAGCGGGCCTTACCGCACGTCTCCACGCGGACCAGCTGCAGCTCTATGCTCTTGATGGCGGCCTCCGAGCTCTCAACCACCAGCTCTCCCGTCAGTGGCTGTGTGATGACACAGCTGGTTGAGTTGAGATGTCCTCTGATGAGAAATTTGGGGAGCAAGGCTCTCTAAAACAAAGCAGAAACAAACATGTCAGGACTGGAAGGCGCCGGGGGAAATGGCTCAATAGGTCACTTTGGTACGAATAAAAACCGAAAACAGAGTTAGATAATTTTCATAAAATCTACTGAGACCTGTTTCACAAAATGGGAAAAAAGGTACAGTAGTACTTACATCTTCTGTCGACTGAAGCCACGGACTGAATTATTCAATAACTACCTACAGACAGAAGGCGCCTGACACTGCCTGTACACAATGACAGATGTCACCCAGAGTTATCCTAACTGCCTCGATCAGATCTGGAAAGCTCCTTCTCACCAAGTAATTCGACATAGGGATGTCTGAGGAAGTTGCCAGAGTGTTTAAGGATAACCGGTCACAAAAAAAAAAAAAAAAAAAAAAAAAGGTTTTAAAAGATTATCATTTTTAAAATATTCCCTATTTTGCAATTTTGAAAAGCCAACACATTAATTTTATTTCACAAAAATTTAAATAGGACAATTTTCTTCAGTACTTGACTAAAAGCCTAGGACCTTTTCTCTCTGGACAGAGGAAATGGTCAGGGTAAGTGATGACATTCTTGTCGGAAAAACAGATTTAAAGAGTTAGAGACAATTGTTCTAGCGGTATTTATGATGGCTGTGTCCCAGTTACTGAAGATAATTCAGGGTTTAGAACACCACTGTCCAACAGAAACATAATGTAAACCACAAGTGTGAAGCAAATATGTAATTTAAAATTTTCTAGTAGTCACATAAAAAAAGTAAAAGGACACAGGGAAAATCAACCACTATATCCAAAATATTATCACTTCTACATGTAATCAATATTTTAAAATTATGAATGAGGTTTTACATTCTCTTTTTTATACTGAGTCTTTGAAACTTGGTCAGTATCTCATACTTAAGCTCATCTTGGTTCAGACCAGCCCCACGCCAAGGGTCAGTGGTCACACGTGGAGGTCCTGGAGGTCAAGAGCTGGAGAGCCAGGGCGCTCAGTACCTGGTGGCCCCCAAAGGCAGAGAACTCTACAAAAGTCTTGATTCAAGACAGAATTCTAAAAACCACTAAAAGAAGCTACTTGTTTAGAAAAATCAAAAGCAGAAGCAGTTCACATGAAAATTCTTTTAAGGGGCGGGTAGAGCTCAGTGGCAGTGTGTGCTGAGCATGCATGAGGTCCTGGGTTCAAACCCCAGTACCTTCATTAAAAAAAAAAAGTTTTTTGGCAACTGCAAAAAAAAAGCTCAACATCCAGGTGAGGATACTGACTAAACATTTATTTTACCTGTCCTTTCACCGACAGTGTGAACATACGCAGATACAGAGAGACCCACACCCGGCACAGCTGCTCGGGACACCCTGAGATGACCTGGTGAGGTGTCTCTGCAAGATGAAAGTGGACGGACAGTGCAGACCCCGAGAGCTCAGGGGCCCCATCCTACAGGGTTCCCAACAGGGCTCTGCACAGCCCTGAGATCAAGGGGGGCTCCATCCAGGGGAGGGGTGCACAGGTGCATCAAAGGGGGATATCCTGGTTGCATGCAGCCTCCTGAGTCAGCACTTGCCCCAGGCTGGGGCCACAGCATCCCCCAGGGGGACTCCCCAAAGCAGATTGGCCACGGCAGGACAAGTGTCCCAAATCACCTGTGGCCCCGATGCAGGACAGCAAGCCAACAGAGTCAGGACAAGCTACCTGCACACCCTAAAAGAAAGGCCACAAGGTTGAATGTACGACCCTCAAGGCAAAGCTAATCAGAGTGTGTTTTTATACTCAGAGGCAGAGTCTCACTGGGGCTACGGCGAGACAGTCCAGTTAATAATACCGTATAGATTAGATCCTCATCTGTAAATATAAACTGACAACCAAGAACCAATAAACAGTTGAGGAAAATAAAAGCAAGGAAGAGAGGCACACACTCAACAAACATTAGAACCAACCCCCTAAGAAAGAGCATCCACAACGGGAATCATCAACGAGGGAGTGATGGGCCTTTGATGCGGCGCACGGCGTCGCAGGAAATGAAGGGGCTACCCTGACAAAGGAATCGTGCTTCTAAATGAATCACGCCGTCGTCGGAGCAAACATTTCAACAGAGGGGCTAAATACTAACTGAAGAGCAAATCAGTGAGCTGAAACAGAGCCAAGGGGTTCCTCCATGGCGCACTTAAGAAATAAGAAAAGAGAAATTCGTGGAGCTGAAGGAAGGCTCAAGCCTTTAGGATGAAAGAGACCCCCAAACACCAGGCACACTGACTAAATAAAGATGCAAACCTGGGCTGGTGCTTTGACATTTTAGATCACGAAGCATGGGGAGATCTTGGAAGTTTTCAGGTGTGAGGGTGAGAGGAGTAGGAACAGATTTGTTCCCGCAAATTTGAGAATCAGATTGTCATCAGTATAACTAGGCACTAGAGAAAACCAGTAAGCTGTTTTTCCAAGTTCTAAGGGAATATGATATTAGAGCCAGGATATTCTACCTAGACAAACAAAAATTCAGATGTGAGAACAAAGTAAGATATTTTTCAGACACTCCAGTTTTTAAGTTCACTCCTTACCCTTTCTGAAAGAATGACTCTAGGATGTATTCCAGCAAAACAAAAAATAATTTGAAGAAGGAAAACATAAGCAAGTGGAAACTGATGAGCCATGGCTATGATGAAACCTGTGATTAGGCCGAATAATATGACTGACACTAAAGCAACTGCTAAGAAATGGTTTCTTAGATTTATCATGGGATAATTTCATAATGTCTAGAAATATCAAACACTACAATGTAACTAACATTGTAAATTAATTTTACTTCAAAAAAATGGGAAGTGAAGCTTAAAAAAAAAGTTTCCAAGCCAATAAAGGTTTAATATCGGGAAAAATAAAACTGGTAACAAGCTGAAACTTACATTTCAAATGGTTTCAACAAAGGGGATGTGATGACAGAGAAGGGCAAAAATGTTACAAGCCTTCTGCTAGAAAGTACTTATTCCCAACGCTGTTATTTAAACTTACAATTATCTATGTATATTTGAGTTTTTAAGGGCAACTACTAGGAAAGTAGAAATAGGATGTTAGAGAAATAAGGAGAAAACAGCAATAAGAACAGTAAAAAAAAACAAAAAACAACCGCAACGACCTCGATCAATTAGACTAACGAGTGGAAGAAAAGAAAAACAGTAAGCAAACCCGGAAGTACAGGACAAGATACAAGGAATCAAACAAATGCAACAGTTTGCAGAATCAAAAGGAATGGGTTAAATTCCTTCATTAAAAGTGACCGTGCTTCGAAAACTCCAGCCAGATGCTACTGACGAGGGGCACGTGCGATGGAACTGGTTTTCTCTGCTCAGCACCACTTCCTCACTCTGGTTCCATTACCAATTTCTGTCTCATTTAGATTCTTCAGAAGTAGATCAACTCCAGGAAAGGGGGCCAGCTAGCTGGGACACAGCATGCCAGTGTCAACCGAGGCAGGGCGACATCTCAGGAGTAGGGACTGACTGCCCGGGTCCACCCGCTGGCCCCATACGTGCTTCCAATCAACGTTCCAATTCCTGGGAGAAAATCTGACTGGCTCACAGGGGCCACTGTGCTCCAGAAACCAGAGAAGGGAGATGGACTTCCTGAAAGGCTCCCCATGACACAGTCCTGCCTCAGCTGTGCCTCCCGAGGGACAAAGCCAATAATCCTCCCAAACTGGCCTTTGACTCAACTACAATCAGGAGGGTCCAGACGGCAGAATGCAGGGTTAGGGCAGGGAGGAAAAGCCACACCCATGGCAGACAAGCGGCCAGGAGTCAGCCAAGAAAAAAGGGGGTGCGGCTACCAGGACAGGCAGTGTGGGCCCTGGGCTCAGGGGAGAGGTCTCTGACCACAATGCAACAACACTGGGAGGAGACAGTAAAAAAATCATAAACGTAGATCTTCTCTTTTAAAGACCATTCTTCTAAGTAGTTACTGAATTTAACAAGAAATCAAAATTGAAAGTACAGACATTTTGGGTACAGACAAAAATTTCCTCTTGCTGACGACTTGATACCCAAACAAAGAACAACTGGGCAGCAGTTTATCAGCGGGATCTGGTTACCATGCGAGTCTCCCTGGCAATGGTGTGTAAGGAGCACGTTACCTCTTTGACATTCTGTAAGGTTTCAGGTGTAATAGTGAAGTCCACGGGACTCGGAGTCAATTTCCCCTTCTGAGGCTAAAACAGGAGGAAAAAGCACAATCAGTAGAGGGCTGAACGTTCTGCACGTCAAATTCTCTTCCCCTGCCTAAAGAAACCCAAGGCAGCACAGTGAACCAGACGGAACTTGGTACTAAGAGGCAGGATGCTTGGGGTCTAAACACAGTTCTGCCAAGAAAGAATGTCATGTTCTGTCAAACGTCTTTATCCCTGTGACTCAGCTTCCTCATCTGTAAAATGAAGGGACAGGCTTCCCAGTCTCTGAGGACACTTTCAGGTCCAGAATTCAAAAATTAGACTTAAGAAACCAAGTAGCATTACTGAGAGACATTCATCTGAACCTCTCTCTTAGAATGAGAGCGCACACCAGAGCGGCTCCACAATGTGCCACTGAATCGGCACGCTGACCCTGTGGGCTGCTGCTACCCCCACTGGTCCCGCTTTCCAGATGAGGACAGGGAGGCGCAGAGAGCTTAAAAGGGTGCTCAAGTAAGTGGCAGAGCATAGATTCCAACCCAGGCAGCCTGGCTCTGAGGCCAGAGCTGTCAGCCACTCAGCTGCCATTCTTCTACTGGGAAGAATCACACCTATAAAACAGTAATTATAAATGTTAACGTAACTGATTAACAGTGATCATCACAGCATTACACAGCTGCAGAATCCATCAACACAGCCAAGCTGGGCAGGCCCAGGGTCTTTTACTCATGGGCTGGGACCAAAGGCCACTGATGCCCAGATGGCAGAGGAGCCGTGGTGGAGAAAGGACACTGACCGATTTGCCAAGTTTACTCACTCATCAAAAGCTTTCTCTGGGAAATATTCTTCTTGAATATAATCTTTTTACTAGTGAATCTATTTTTCCTTGCAGCTCATAAAGAACATTTAACTTGTTAACTACAGTCACAGTGTGGTTTGGCCTTCTTGTGAAATCATTCACAAAGAACACGATCCTTGAAGGCCGAGTGTGGGTGAACCCCCAGGAGCAGGGAGGATGCCCCCACTGTTGCCCTGCCTGAGCTGGCCTGTGAGCGGGCTCTGCGGTCACGAGTGGGCTCAGGTCGGGGGCCAAGTGCAGGGACCCGGCTCTGAGTGGGGGGCCGAATTTGGGCTCATTCTTCTTCACAAAGCTGGAGGCTCTTTTTCTTTAGGACATAAAATGGTATGTGTTTTTTTTAGGGAATAATCTATGTGAAAAGACATTTTTTTTGCTTCCATTTGAAAATCCTTGATGGAAAAAAGGAAAATATCCATCTATATCAAATAACTTCCAAAAAAGATATTTTAATCATATTTTACACAAAACATCATAGCACTGAAAGAAACACTTAACATTATGATTATTAAAAATTTATAAAGAGGGGAACTACAGATATTGGAAGTCCTAAGAAGTCACAAAAATGCTGCACAGAAAGAGCATCAGTGATTCTCCCATTTTACACATGAGAGATTTAAGTCTTACGTTTGCACTTAATCATCACTGAAAGATTCCCACGGACATTTTGTAACAGTGTAAGTGGCCCTGCCCCAGAGGACCTGGAGAGGCTGTGACACAAGGGAACCAGAGCTGTGCGCATGAGGACCTGTCACCCACCATGTGTCGCCTGCCACAGCTGGGGAGGGGGACTTAGTTCCCTACGTTTGCATGTGAAAGGAATTTTTGAGGACGTTTTTATCACTGCAAAGTATCAGCAGAAGGTGTCAGGACCCCGGCCTGAGCACCTCTGTATGTTCTTGCTGTGTCTGCCGAGGACGTAAGCCCCTGGCCTTCTCCTCCCAGGCTGGGCCATTTCTCTGAGCTGCTGGCTGTAGCTACCCTGAGGGACGAGGAGATGTCTCTCTCCAGGGCCGAGAGCAGGCCTGCTCACTGCTCGCTGTAATGAAGGTAGGTGCCCCAGCATGGGGCTCCCTGGAGGTGCAAACCCCTCAGGTGCAGCGCCCTCTGGGCCTATGGCATCACCCTGTGGGACTCTGGGCCCCAGGGAACGACACACACGGATGCTCATGCTGCCGGCTGTGCGCCATCTCTGACCCCGGAGACCCGTGTCTTTCCCACGAAACACACTAGGCTAACTCAGTGCTTGTGAGTGGGGCAAAGTCCCAGCCCCCACCAAAGACTCCTATGACTGAGCACAGAGCCCCCAAGGGCAGCTTACAGCAGAGTGAACGATGAATTCACAGGTCTTGGTCAAGTCCTTGGCCAACAGAGACCGCCTCATGTCACAGCGCAGGGTGTACTGGAGGGAAAAGGCAGAGAAGACGCTGTTTTAGATGGTCTGCTTTCATCGTGGAATCCCATACAAAGAAACAAGTCAGTCAACGTATTTTAGGGAAACTGTCCACTTAATGTGCTTTATAAAATTAACATACGTAATGGGAGAGTTAGTGTTCAAAATAAAGGCATTTCTATAAACAACATTTTAAAGTTATTCCTCAGCCCATTCCCACAACCATCTTGCTTAAAAAAAAAAAAGTCACCCATGTTCAAAAAAGTCAGCTGTTTGATCCTCCAGGAGATACTGCAGTATTATGTTAAAGACAATTTGTAGAATGGGAATTATATCTCTAGTTGATTCAAGAAGCTACAACTATTACGAACAACCTACCCATTAAAGAAGCTATTATGTATTTAAAGTACTACCCGGAGATTAAAACATTAAAAAAAAAAAAAGAAAAAAGAATCATTCCTTGTCTGCAAGGACCTTTACATATATACTCTCCATGGCAATTTCAATCTGGCCTCCCCAGCCAGACAGGCTCAGTGAGGGCTGGTACTACACACACATGTTCTGTCTGCGTGTCTGACACACCTGTGTGCGTGGGTGTGCTTATATAAGGACACCGTCCTCCTCCCGCGTGGCCCACACGCTGGCTAGAACGGGCACTACTTTATTCCGAATTGCTTGGTCTCCCCGATTCTTTTCCCAATGGGAATGTCCCTTTCTCATTTTCAGTCTCAGGGGTCTGACGGGGCTGACTCCCCCTACCCAACCCCACCTGGAGATGGCCGGTCAGCCAGGACTGCTGCTGGGCTATGGGAAAGAATCCTTTCTGCTGGGGCTGCCAACCCAGGAGACCGGACACCTGCAGCCGCCTGCTGGCAGCCAGCTTCGCCAGGGCCAGGGTGGAGCCTACCTGGGAGCATGGCCTGCGCCAGAGAAACCACGCTGGAGGCTGCCTGGTCCCCCCTGGCCTAGGCCGTCCCCTGGAGTTGTGAGTTCTACGCCCCAATATCCCTTTTTTTGGGCAAAGCCAGTTTGAGCTGAATTTCCACAACTTGCAAATGAGAGTGGGAATAACAGACACCAACTTCCGGTCACTAAATGTTTTCTGAGTGTGAAAGCGACAGTTGGTAATATAAGGCAGCTGGGGACAAGTGGGGGATGGGGAGAAGGGTGGAGAGAAGAGGAAAACACTGATGTTATGTTTTAGGAATTGCATTAAGTTCTTTTACATGTGCTTTCTCAATTCTAGCAGTTCGAATATCAGAACTGTTAAGACAATATAAGGGTAGACACCATTAATTCATTTATTTAATCATTTGGCAAATATTTTCTTGGTACATACTATGTGCCAGGCACTATGTTAACTAAGTACTTCACACCAAGACTTCATCCATCCCCTAGGAGGAGAGGACATGAGGGCTGCTAGGGGTCACAGAGGTGGGATTTGAACTTACACCTGCCTGTTGCCAAAACTCATGCTCTGAATCTTTACGCAATACTGTAACTCAAGCCCAGATCTGTCTGCTGCAAAGCCCTGGATTCTTTCACTCCATCGTGATCTTTCCCAATGACTAAGGAGTGGCCCAGGAGGAATGAGTTATGGCAGTCAGAGGGGTCAGGAAGGTCAGACTTGAGCAGGGCACCAAAAGGAGGGGCAAGATTAGATCTTTTTCGACTGTCAGTAAACCCAACACAGACAGGAATGAGGAAGAAGACATGTGCCAGTGGCCTTAAGGCAGGCTCCTAGAAAGGACATTTTCACTCTGCAGAAGGACGTCTAGCATCTCTGTAATCTAATTCCGATATACAATTTCAGCAGACACGTTGGTACTTCTGTATTTTGTGTTACAGTGTAAGATCTTGCTAGTGCGGCCACAAGAGTAGAACAAACATAATAAAACTTGCCTGTGATTTAAACAACTTTTAAAAGAGAAAGGAGTTGCACAAAGGAGGACTAAGAAAGACTGACAGCTTCTCACATGCTCTGTCCAACAATATAGAGGACAAATGGACGCAACACGGCTACGAACAATCGGAACCAATGTCATCAAGCCATCCATCTGAGAAGTAAAAAGGAAACCCGCCCCTGCAAGGTGGAGATTTACTACTGGCTACATTTTAAATCCTTTATTCCGTCTTATGACTTTTTAATTTTTACATTATGTTATTACAACGCAACTCAAATGATAAACGCAAATTTTCTTTGCACCTAAATAATTTGAGAAAGATGTTGGGGTTCAACACAACACTTTCTACCCAAAGTCTTGCACTGGGAACAAGCCATGGCACCGGGTCGGGGGCGCCTGCAGGAGGCCGGCCTGTGCGAACCAGGGGTCGCTGCCTCTCCGGGTGGCTCCACTGTCCAACAAGAGACCTGTCGAGAAACTGAGGGAATGAGTGAACTGATGAACGAAAAAGAGATCAAGAAAGCCATAGTCCTAGGTTCTCTCAACAAGTATGTTTCTCAAAAGAAGCGATGACAAATGTGAACGTGAACTGGGAATTAGGTGACACTGGAGAACTGCTGTTCATTTTGACAGGTGGGAAAATGTTAACTGTGATTATGTGGAAGGATGTCCTGATTTTTTGGAGACAGTGATTGTATTTTGAGATAAAGTGTCAAGATTCTCTAAGTAACTTTGAAATGATTTAGAAAAAACAAATACGGATGAATCAAAGGTGGCAAAGTTCTAATAAATGTTGAATCTAGGTGACAAGTGTCAGGGTGACAAGCTCTGATAGATCTGAGGCTAAGAAGACACCTTTTCGTTTTCAGAAACTTGTGAGATACTTGGAGAGGTGCAGAGTTTCCAAACTGTAGCATTCTGAGGTTAACCCCCAAAGTGGTAAACTCTAATGGCCAAAATAAAGGGGGTCGGGGTGATTCTTTAGCTTACTAAAGAATTAACCAGAGGTGAACTCTCCTTTTGCATTTTAACCAGTGTCCAATTTACACATAGCTGCAGAGGAACACAAGTTTTGTATGTATATCTGTAGCGATACTTGCAAAAGGATGAGATTCCCAGTTTTATTTTAAACAAATTAATCTTTCAACAAGAAAAACACTGGAAAAGAAAGTAATAAGCAAGAAGTATGCCCACAGAAAATCTGATGTTATTCTATTCAGTTTCTAATAAACACATGCTTATATCATTAAATAAACAGTATCAAAGAACCATTGTGTGGTTAAAGCAGGTTGATGCTGATTCTAGAAAGAGAATAAAAATAATTTTGAAAATGCAACGTTTGAGGTATTTCCAGTCTTGCTAAAAAGGTATTTTTCATTTACTTTCTTCCACGGTGAAAAGGTGGTCAGAGGACTCAGGTCTACATACCAACAACCTGTATGTCTACACAGTGACTTCCTTTGAACTAGACACTTGGCTGTTACTTAAGGGTTGTCCAAAGCCTTTAGTATGCATATTGCCCGAAACAGGTGCACTGATAACAAAGGACTAGAAAAGCTTGTCTTTACAGAAAGACACGTATTGCCACAGAGTACATCACACTCCATGTGTTTCTTCTTGACCAGTCTTTTAGGCAATTCATAAAACTCATGTACAAACCTTTGGCTAAACTCACAAGTGTTTTGACGACTTTTATTGTAAAAGTGCTATATTTTAAGAGGGAAATGGTCTCTACCAAGACCGAATTATTGGCTAACAATTAATAAGTCAAAAAATTTCCTAATTTCCGGCCCTCCTGCACGTACGTAAAACAAAATGCTTTTGTCTCATCTAGCAAGGGAACCACAGATATCACAGAAGCACCTTTCTTTCCACTGAATAAAGGAAAGGCTCTCTTTCTCTCGCTCTGAGTCATGACTCTGAGCTGTGCCGGGGACAACAGCCACTGTGAAAGGCAGCCTGAGCGAGCGGAGGCAGACGGGAGTCGTAAGTCCACTTCCTCCTTACTTACGAGGCTTGTTCAATAAAGAACACAAGCCTATGTAGAGCAGCAGCCTTTGGATATTAAACAAAGAGATATTCATACGTATGAAACAGACAAGTTAGTGCGGGTGCCAGAGAGAAGTGAGGGCATATCTATTACCAACAAGAAAAGCGCCCCTTAAGGTGTCAGTATGGCCTGGACAGAGCCCCAAGAAACACAGAACTTTTAAAAAGGAGCTACAGCATGGGTCCTCCAGGATTCCCATCAAAGATAATGGTCATACGTAAATTAAGTTCCAAAGGGCAAAATGAGAAATCAATTCAGAATATACACAGGGGGGCCTAGCAATAAACCACACTAAACTCTTGGGTCCGCCCTTGAACTTTCAGTGATCGGGAGCCCAAGCTGTGGTGCAGGAGAGTCGGGAGGTCAGCCGCATAGGATGAGGAAACTCTCACCTGAATGTTGACAAACACGCCGTGATAAGTCTCATACAGAGCTTTGTTACCCTTCACAAGCAGAGGAAACTCAAAAGGAATTTCTGTTTTGCCGCTGGGAAATTTCCCTGGCTTCACCATTTCGATGGTACTGTTGATAATCTGGATAGGCTGTAAAGAAAAATCAACTCAGTCCATCGACACGCACTTTTTGATGCACTTTCTTTCAAGTTACTGCGTCTATTAGACAATCTCCCGAGAGACAGCACGCCCAGCCCTCGGCCGCTACCATCCCGGTGCCGCACCTGCAGGCGGGCGGTGAGCCGGCCCAAGTCTTTGGTTGGTTTGCAGGACTGGATGCTTAGGACTTGGGTGCACAGTAGGAAGTGAATCGATGTAACTCCCTCTCTTCCCCCCAGATATCCTGGCTATGCTAACACCCTCCCAGCAGGCACCCCTATCTTAGGAGCAGGGCTGCCCTGCAGCCCCGGGGGGCTGGGGAGGCCTCCTCCACTGGGCCCAGGGAGGGAGGCTGCACCAACGCTCAGAACCTGCATGAAAGGTGGCTGTTACACCTTAGTTAAGGTATCCTAAGCCTTGGTTTAGAATCACACTGAGAAAATTCACAGCTTCTGAAGTGAGCCTCTAAACGCTGATGGAGGAAAATAAAACTATGCGAAAACACAGGAAGGCCCTGAATCCAAATACTGCTGCTGCCCCCTTCCTTCCTCTGAACTCTTTCTCCCTCAGAACTGAAAGAGTTCATATGACCCTCAGGGAAAGGAAACTATACATATGGAAAAAAAAGAGTCTACTATTCTGGAACACAAAACTTTACGCTAAATGACCGCAAAGAATGGCTCTCCCTGCATCTTACCTGGATGCCAGCTCCAACAGCGGCTGGGTTAGGGTAGCAGGTAAAATAACAGCTTTGTTTTAAGAAAGTGAGTGCCAGAAGGTTCAGGCACAACCTCTCAGAAGAGCCTTGGTCTCTGTAATGGCCGAATTACTCCACTAACAGCTCCCCTAATCTTAACAGGAGCACAGACAGGCTTTCAGTAACAGAATATATTCAGAATCAAAACACCTGAATGTTTTTTCAGATTAGTAAGTAGTGAAAACATGACTGTCACCATCCCTTACAAATAACAAACAGCAACCACAAAGCCAGACAGCAAATGAAAATCACCAGACATTTGATTCATGAACAAAAAATGTGCAATGCAAGCATCCTCACCTTAACAGAATTATAGAATGCTTCGAACACACCCACACTCTTGGCGCTCAGCTGGAGGTTCACACTTCCTTCCACAGTCAAGGAGACTCCCTGGTGCTGGATGGCATCCTTCCCAGAGATGACCACTACCCCGGAGAGCATTTCCTAGGGGAGAGGAGACAACACCGGTCAAGTTAGCACGTCTCTTTCATTAACCTGGTTCACCTCAAAGTAAGCCTCCATAACCATCAATTTTTCCAAAGATGCAGATATTCACTGAGCGCTTCTTACAGACCAGACACCAGGATGCCAGGATGGAGAAGACATGGCCACTGCGGGGGCCCAGGCGTGGGAGAGCAGGCAAAGAGTCTCATCCTATCCCTGCCTTCCAGACACATCTTCATTCCCACTGGAGAATCCAAACAAATGTCTGATTTCAAAAGCACACAGACAAGGGCCTGGGTGGAATGGCAGTCAGAGCCACATACAGCAGGGGCGAGTGTGATGATCCCGCAGAAGGAGTATGATACAATGAAACCTTTTCTTTAAGTTCTCTCTCAATCACGCTGACAGACTAAGATCACCACACGCTGTCAAAGGCATGCGTAATTGAACACAACTGCTGGCCGGTGTCCTCTGCCCAAAAAGCCTCCCGGGAGGGCTGGGGGTCGTGGATGTCACACCCCACTGGTACGCAGCACTGTCACTAAGGCCTCCTGGGTCCCTCTGGGTCCTGCTTCACGCTGGTGGTCAGTCGAGCCCAGACTTCCCTAGTTCATAAATCATGTAAGAAAGACTTCACAGCAGATCATCCATTCACTTCTCTGGAGATAATTACTGAGTAAGAGAATATGGACACGGACCCCATTCATTCCTGGATGACAGCTCCTTCCTGACCCTGTGGAACCCAAGAGCCTCAGTTTGCGACAGGGGTCTGGGCAGGGCTGGAAGGCGAGATGAACCAGCACCAACCAGAGCAGAAAGAGAATCCACAATAAACACAAAGCAACGTGTTTCTGAAATGACCTTCAGAAACAGCACGTGACTGCCGTCACAGTGTGATGGCAGAAAACTGCTGACTGAAGAAAAAGAAAGAAAGAAAAAAAAACTGGCAAAAATTAAGTGGTCAGCTAATCAAAGCATGAAAAAATTCTGTCCTTTTGGTGTTTAAATGTTTTTACCTTTTATTTTCTCTAGTTATCTAGTGAAAAAATGTTCACCGACTTCTCATATTATGCGAAATTTGGGGAGCAGGGAATATTCTCCCTTAAACATGCTATGTATTTTGCTTTTGTTTCCCACTCCCCACCTCAAAGTTCTAAAGTCTAAACTAAAACAAACACTATTAGCTCCATTTTAAGCAGAATTCTAGGAGCACAACTCCTTTGTTCTTAACATAAAAAGCTCATAAACAAATTCAAATGAAAACTCCTCTGAAATACTAATTTAACTTTCTAATTTAATTAAATTTAATTATATTAATTTTTGTACAACCTCAATGAAATAAAAATTAATTTTTAAAAATTTAAATCTACTTGTATATTTTTAAAAACATACTTGACTAGAATGTCCCAAAATTAAAATTAGACAAAACAACTTCATGAACTTTATCAAATAAACAACACAATGGCGCTTGAGGGTAATTCTGCTTCTATTTAACCATAACATTTTCAGTTACTCTCATGGGAACAGGATCTGGGCTGACCACTGAAAAGCATATTATAATCATGACATCCATAAAACTGTTCCCTTCCTTAATCCCTACAGCATAAGAAGGAAAAAGCATAGCTCGTGGGGAAAAAGAAAATGAAAATGAATATTTATATATCCACACATGACTGAAAAATTGTGCTGTATACCAGAAATTGACACAACATTGTAAACTGACTATAACTCAATAAAAAAAAAAAAGAAGGAAAAAGCAGTGAAATACCTTGGAAACAGGCAGAGTAAATATTTTATGACTCTTTTATTCTTTGGTTTTAATTAAGAAAGAAGATTAACAAAATATTTGCAGATAAATTTGACATACTAACAATATACAGGTCCATCCTACTCCTACCAACAAAAGGACACAGAATTAGTCCAAGTATAGCCCAAGGAGCCGAGAATTTTGGAAACAGATGATATTTCAACAAAGAATTGATATCCATGGTAGCGAGAAAACAGACACTTCTTGTTTCTTTTTTTTAAATTGAGATATAATCGGCATACCACACTGTATCAGTTTTAGGTGTACCAGGCAATTCTGGATCAATCCCACGAAAGGAGGACAGAATAACCTGAATAACTGAAATTAAGGAGAACCCAAGACCTCACCAAGAACTTCCAGCTCAGACTTCCGTCTGGAAGGCTCAGCAGGGAGATAAGAAGATCAGGGCTAGAGAGTGAGGATGCCTCACTGACACCTCCACCTGATAAGCTGGAGTCCCTCACTGAGGGCCACGATTTCAAAGAGGGGCCGCCCCTGGATGTCAGGATGTCAGTGAACCAGGGACATGGTGTACAACGTGTGCTGAGTTTGAGCGAGGAGAGCCACAGCTTTTGTCATGTCACCAAGAAGCCTGGCCCTGAGAAAGGTTGAGAAACACAGATGACGAGACACACAGGCCCCACACTCGAGTGCAAGGAGCAGACACAACCCAGCAGACCTCCATGTCGCCTTGGATCTCACCAGCATCCTGAAAATTCAGCTGAGCCCTAGGTGGGGATGCATCCAAGGGGAGCGCCGCACAGAGCTGGCTGCAGGTCCACCTGGGTCTTGGCCTGGAGGAGTCAAATCCAGAGGGAGGGCTGGAGCAGCATCTTCAAACACACACTGAAAGAGGAGGCTGGGAGAAAGCACACCAGGGCTCCCGGTCTCCCCGTCCTCCAGCCATGTGGCTTTCCTGGCAGAAAACCGCCACCGAGTGTGTCCCAAGGATGGGAGGAGACTGTGGTTTCTAACTCTGACTCCTTTGTCTTCTCTAGACGTAAAAGGCTCCTAGCAAACTCCACAACTGTTTTATTCACTGTTCTCTGGACTTAAATGCCAAACCCATAATCGGGACTCTGGGTTTGAGGATGGTGGCGCCAAGTCAGCATCCCCCCACTCAGCCTCCTGGAAATCATCCAAAAGAACAAGACACAAAACCACAAACTGCATTTTCGGTGAAATAAGGAGAGAGTTAAGTGCTGTGAGATAAGTGGAGTGAAGACTGAGCAGGGAGCCCGTGGTCAAGAGATGAAACAAGGCAGCCCCAGGGAGGAATCCCCCAAATGCGCCCCACAGGGCAGCAGGAACTGTGACAACCTCCCAGCTGCCTCTCTCATGTGGGGGCCGGGGGTAAAGGTTACAGAAACTCACATAAAACCTCAGCCCACTTGGTCTCAGCATAAATTCATCTTCTACAAGAAGATAGTAAAAGAACCAGCAGACGAGCCCAGGACATATAACAGACTTAAAAGGAGGTGAGGAAAGGAGAGAGAGAAATCCAAGTGGCATTTTTGTGAGGCCTCCCTGGACCATTCCTATTTAATCCCTCCACAGCACTCATTTATCCCCACTCCCTGACTTTGCTCTGTACCATTTGTCATCTTCTAAAATCCTACATAAGTACTTACCTGTTTTATCACCTGTTCTCCAAGATGTTAATGCCACATGGGTAGACTGACTGCAGGAGTAGGAGCTCAGGGCTTACTGAATGAATAAATGATTACTCACCAGAAAAAAACAGCACCATCAAGCAGATGAAATTGTGAACATGCATCTCACCGTGTATTTTTAAAATGTAATGAAGCAACTGCCTTTATAAAGGATGAACACAAAACAGAGCTATAAGAGCTCAGGGATGATGAAATGATGAGGCAACAGAAAGAGATAAAAAAAAATATAAGGAAAACTCAGAAAAGAAGTGGAAGGAAAAAAATAAAACAAAACCATCACAGAAAAGGAGATAAAACTGAAAGAGGCTCAAAATATATACAGGACAAAAATGAGAAAATTCAAACAAATCAGGTGAAAATTTAAGAATGAATTAAAAAGAATCGCCAAAAAATGATAAATATGAGAGACAATGAGGAACACCAAACATATGCATAATGAAGTTCCCATAAAGAAAACTGAAATAACAGAACACAACAAATATTTACTGATGTAATTTTCAAATACTGAAAGAGCAAATGAATTAGGAATGGTTAAGAAAAAGACTCAAGTAAAATTATCCTACTTAAAAAAAAGAAAGAATACTTTAGGAGTCAGGCAAAGGAAAAGACACTTATAAGAGAGGGAAAAAAATCAGACTTCTTCATGGCAAAATGCAATTCAAAATGAAACTACAGCAATACCCATTATGATGCTCAAGGAAACAAAGTGTGATCCTAGAATTTTATACCTACATAAACAATCACTCACATGTAAAACAAGTTTTAAATGTACAAAAGCAAACAAACAAAACCCGAAGAAGCACAGTATGAAAAGCCCCCTTGAAGAATTTAGTAGATAGTGAACTATCACTCTTCAAGGGATGGAGAGAAACACTGCGTCAAAAGAACGAACTGTGAGGATGGAATCCATTTAATTATAAGAATAAGACTAAGAGATAAGTGATGATTATGGTGAGAGAGCAGGATGCAAAACACAAGACCTGACAGTGTAGAAACTAAATAAAATTTAAAGTTCAGGTCCTCAGTTGCACTAGCCACACTTCAAGTGCTTAAAAGCCACCGTACAGCTAGTGGCTATCATAATGGACAGGGCAGATAAACAGCACATTCATATCATCACAGAGATGTGACCAGTCCTGGTTTAAAGTTAGTAAGTCAAATAACATAGTACAAATAAAGTTAACAAAGGTAAACACCAACAAAGGTAATATCTGTAAATAACTAAGATCAGTTGGTAGAAGAGCAGGGAGAAAGAAAGAAGAGGAAATATACTGATTTCATCATTGCTCACAGTAGAGAATTAATAAATAACCTCTAAAACAGAAGATTGAGGGTACAATAAAAACCTTTATGGGTAACAATTATAACAAATAAAACTCCAAATTATTAGAAAATCATACAAAGAAAATAAGACTATAGAGAGGAAGCTGGTTTAAAAGCTACTTAAAAACAATTCCCCCAAATGGCTGCAAAGCAGCAATGACAGAACTAATGCCAAACATGTCACATGAATAAATGGG